GAGGCATCGTTCTCCCTGGGGTAAAAGCCATCCAGGCGGCAGACGCGCGTCTCCATTCCATCCTCCACCTCCGTCTTGCTGCTCACAGTCACCTCTGGGGGCTCTGCAGAAACGGCACCCCCGGAATTAACTCTGAGCCCCTCCAGAGCCTGGAAGGTGGGGGGGAACTTGGAGGGGCAGGAAAGTCTCCCACTACTTCCCACTCCACACCTGCAGCGTCTCCAAAAGTTTTAGGAAATGCTCCAGATCTGGAAAATGCTCAACCACAAAGACTCCTGGATTCTGAGTCCTTCCCAGGGACTCAGCCTGAAAAATCTCCAGCAGCAAATTGAGGGTCCAAGAAAATTCCTCTCTGGCTGCTTTGAACTCTGAGTGATCTTGGATCGTGGAGCTGCCCTTTAGGAGTTTCTTTTTTTTAAAAAAAAGACCACACCGATGTTTCTCACTACTTTTGGAGTCCACTTCTCCAAATCAGAGGCTGTTCTAGGACCCTTTCCAAGGGACACAATCACAATTTCAGGATTATTTATCTACTTAGCCCATGGCAAAACCTTTAAGAGGGAGAGAATGAGAATCAAAGTAAGGGGCTTGGGGCTTTTGGAATCTCACCCTGGTTAATGTGGAAAAGAGATTCTGTGTCTCAAAGGGAGGTTAGAGAGAGGTGATGCCAATGGAAAAAGGGGGCTTTTGGCAATATGGGGAGGGGGATTCTCCCATGGTGCCTGATCTCCCCCAGCTGATCCTGCAGGGATCAAGGAGCCCAGACAGGAAGGGGCAGGGCTGGTCTTGATGGGATAGTAATCTCACAGGAAAGGAAAAAGGGGAAAATATTACAATATGAGCAGGGAGCCCTATGGGATGAGGATGTGTTCCTGAGGGTGAGGAAGGGATTGTTTTCTGGGGAAGCCACTAAAGTCAAAGATAAGGAAGCTATTTGAGGTATAAGACCAAAATCCCCACAGAATCTGTGGGGTTTTCTCCCCCCTCCTTAACCTTGGCCATTTTTGCCCAAGTGGAGGCACTGATAATGTTCTATTAATGGTTGGTGCCCCCTAATGGTGGGGGTGGGAAGTGCACCATCAGATGCAAGGAAAGGGGGGAGCCCCCTGTGGGATGAGGGGGGGAAGGAGAGCTGCTGGGAGGAGATGAAGGCCACGCATCATACTAGGCTCCGTTTGGGCTAATGGTGGATTCACCAAATAACTCAAAGTGGCCTTGTTGCTGAATTGTTATTGTGAACAGGACATCCCGAAATGCTTCTGCCAGACACCTGGCAAGTAGACACTGCATTTTCTGGTAATAATAATAATAATAACAACAACAACAACAACAACAAAGCAACAACAGCAACAACAGCAACACAACAACAACAACAACAACAACAACAACAACAACAACAACAACAATAATAATAATAATAATAATAATAATAATAATAATAATAATAATAATAAAGTTGGAAGGGACCTTGGAGGTCATCTAGTCCAACCCCCTGTTCAGGCAGGAAACCCTATACCATTTCGGACAAATGGCTTTCCAGTCTCTTCTTAAAAACTTCCAGTGTTGGAGCATCCACTGCTTCTGGAGGCAGGTTGTTCTACTGGTTAATTGTTCTAACTGTCAGGAAGTTTCTCCTTAGTTCTAGGTTGCTTCTCTCTTTGGTTAGTTTCCATCTGTTGCTTCTTGTCCTGCCTTCATGCGCTTTGGAGAATAGCTTGACTCCCTCTTCTTTGGGGCAGCCCCTGAGATATTGGGACACTGCTATCCTGTCCCCCCTCGTCCTTCTCTTCATTAAACTAGACATACCCAATTCCAGCAGCCGTTCCTTATATGTTTTAGCCTCCAGTCAGGCTCTACATTAGGGACCCAAAAGGGACAAACATATCCAAAAAAATCCAACCACAAAGGAGGAAAGTCCAGCCTGGATCCAGAGGCTCACCTGTCCTCAGTAGCGTCTCATTCCCGTAGGACAGGTACTTCTCCAGCCACTCAATGCAGATTTCCTCCAGGTAGGCCTTCTCTCTTTGATTCAATCCTGGAATAGCGTCCCATTTCCTCTGGGTGATCTGGGCCTGGGGTTGGGGAGCCACCCAGGTGAGGGTCTCCTTGTCGAAGGTGAGGAAGGTCCTCCCATCGTAGCCATGATGGTCAAATCCTCCTTTTTTCCCATCAGCCTGGAGCTCACAGCCAATCATCCTCTGTATTATGTGAAAGCCTGAAATAGGAACAAGATGATGGTTTGGGGAGTCCTCAAGATAGACACAGACCCCCTTCCCTGCAGGGACTTTGGCACAGGAAATGACATCCCCGTTTCCTCCCTAGCATTCAAGGGAAAGAAAGCCCCCATCACTACCTGCCCTTCTCCCCTCCCTCGACCTCCCTCCCTCCATTCCACCCCCCAGGATGGAACCCCTGAAACCCTCCCCCAGGAAAAGGGAAGCTGGAAAAGCCAGCGGAGGATCCTGAGGGAGACCGAGAAAAGGAGCAGAAGAAACAGAGGGATGGAGACCTTTCCATCTTTCCTTCTGCAGTTCCTCTGTTGGGGAGACTCTTGGGGGGAAAGGAAGGGATCCCAGAGAGGGAACAGTTGCCTGAATCTGCAACTCTAAAGAGGGACTGAGAATCTCGTGGCCTCAGAGAGAATCTGGTCAATCTGCAAAGAAGCTTGCAAGGATCCCTGTGACCATAAATCCTGGTCTATGTTCCCAAACAGCACCAAGTGATGAGGGCTGATTTCCATTTTGAACTAAGCGGAAATGAAATGTGGGAATGAAGACTTGAAGGGCCACAAAGAAATATTTTCCTTAGCAATATCAGAAAGTGGCCCAGTCTGATCTGCATACCCAAAGAGTTATTGAGCTTTGAAATGAGTTTGAACTTTACAGGCTCAGCAAAGACCTGGAGGAGCTGTTTCAACTTCAAGGGACCAAATTCTTGGATTTAAAAGGAACCCAAATGTTTGAAAAAACCAAAAGGAAATGTTGAAATATTTCTACTTCTGGTTGGGCTTCAGAATGAGGAAGGATGCCAGAAACTCTCAAATCTGAAGGAAAACCACTTGTAAGTACAGTTGAACTGAACTGACCAGTCCTTTCCCTCCCTTTCCACTCCCATGAGTGATCGGGTGAGGGGATCCTTTCTCTGCAGCTTCTGCTCAGCCTGAGACCTTCCCTTTGGAGGGAGAGGAAGATCCTCCTGAGCTGAGTCTGATCCTGCCCTCCAGAGGAGATTCCCTGATCTGCCCAGGGGAAAAAAAGGTTCTGGATTTCTGCCCAAGAAGAGTCTCCTGCCATTCACAGGAAGGCACTGAAAATCTGGCTGCAGTTTTCAACTTCTGAGAACCAGCTCTGTCTTATTTCAGAAGCATCAAAAGCTAAGACAGAAACCGTCTTATTTCAGTTGAAGATGAAATCTGTTTGTGCTCATTGCAAGTTTGGCACAGAATTTAATATTTGTGCTGCAAAAAGAAAGCACAGGGATCACACTGAAAAGGCAAGTTTTTATTCTTAGTGTAAGAAGGCTGTTAATGCATCTCTACAGGTCTACGCAGGAAACAATTCTGCTCTATCTTTGAGCCTGGATGTTCAGGGGCCTGAGAAATACTTCAAGGGTTCCTCCAGGATCAAAAGGTTAAGAAAGGCTGTTTAGAGAAGTTAAAATATATTTATATTTTTAACTGCTGTGAAGAATATCAAAAGCCATTTCTAATGGCTTTCTTTTTTCTTTACTAATTTTCTTCAACTTGTTTTCTTTTCTTGCACTTTTTGATTTTTCTTTGATTTCTTTCTTTTGTCTCCTTTACATTAGTTTTTATCTTCTTGATGAAAAGTTTTAATAAAAATTATATAAAAGTTTTTAAAAGGCCACCAGTATGCCAGGGTTCATTAAAATGGTACTGAAAACACAGAGGCTAATGTCATAAAGCCTTTGTGTAAATCAAGGGCGTGACCACATCTGGAATATCGTCCACCAGTTCTGGTCACCAGACCTCAAAAAAGGGCAGGAGGGAGCTGGGGAAGGTCCAGAGGAGGCGACCCAGAGGATGGGAGGGTGGAAGCAGCCTCCCTTGGAGGAAAGGTTGGGACATTGGGGGCTGTTTGGCCTGGAAAGGAGGCTCCCCTCCACTCTGGCCACTCTCCTTCCCCCTTTCTCCACCAGGGGGAGCCCTCTGGGTCCAGCTCTGCTCCCCTGAGAGGCCAGCAGGGGGCCTGGAGGGATCTGGGGGGATCCTCGGGGATCAGGGGCAGAACTGGCAGATCTCTGGGGTGTCTGCCTGGGGGGGGATGGGCAAGGAAAGGGCAGAAGAAGGGGGGCTGCACCTCCTTGGGATGAAAGGAGAGAAAATGGCTGATGTTTGTGGAGAAAGTTTATCTCAGCCCAAAGCAGCCTCTGGTGACCCAGATATTTTCTTGCAATCTCTCCCCTAAATCAGGTTCCTTGGAGGTGAATCTTGTGCCCCAAAGATGGCAGAAGGGGGGGGCTGCTGAAGAAGGCCTCCCCCCTCCAGGGCAGCCCCACCAAGAGGGCAGCGCAGGAGTTCAGCCTGAGGGACCAAGGATGGGAAGCCATCAGCGCTCTGAGCGACTCAGGAAGGGCCCCAAATGGGGGTTTCTTTCTTTTCTGTCATTCCTACTATTCTGTCCTTTTCTCCTCAAGATTGGGAGGATGCTGAAAGAGACCCTGTGCCCCCCTTCGACAGCCCCCCACCCCATTGGCCTCTCCTTCCAACTGGAGGGTGAGAAGAAGCTCCTGGCATTTGGGCCTCATTCGTCCCTCCAAAAAGGGAGTGAAGAAGAGGGATCTAGTCTCTCCAGGTGGATCTGCACTTGATCCCTTATTTCTCTGGGGTGGAAACAGAAGGACGAGGACCTGCTTCCCCCAGGATCTCCTTAAGATCCACCTGCTTTTTTTTAGGGGGGGGACCTGTGATTCCCTTCCTCCCCCACAGCAGAAGGTCCACCAAGGCCAGGACCCTTCATCTTTCAGGGGGGGGGGGAGATTTCTGTCTCTTTTTACCTCAGTTTATATCAATCTCCATATCCTATCAAAATTCAGACAGATAGAGGGATAACTTGAAATATGTTTTCATTGACTGCAATTGGCAGAAAGTGTCACTTATGGAGGCAAGGCAACCTTATACTGATTTAAAAAAAAAGAATAAATATATTACAAAATCTTTTTTAAAAATGTGTGGAAGCAGCCTTTCCCTTTCAAAGGACCCCCTCCCTCTCTCCCCCCCTTTCTGTTCCTGGGGAGGGGATTATGGGGCAGGAGGAGCCACCCGACCCATCACTCACCTTCGCTCTGATTGTAGCGAAGCCTCAGAATCTCCAGGTTTTCTCTGGACGTCTCCTCATTCCCACGGGCTCTCTGGGTGTTTCTGTCCCAATATTGGGGATCCTCCTTCCCCACCTTCTCCATCCAGGAGACTCGAAGCTCCCTCCTCCGGCTGTTGCTGTCATAGTAAACAAAGGCCTGACCGTCCACGTACCCCACAGAGACAAATTGAGGCAGCCCCTGACTGGGGTCCGAGATGATGGTGTAGAAATACTTCATGGAGTGCGAGGAGGTGCCTGGAAGGGACCCAGAGGGGCAGAGTTAGGGGGCTTCTGCTGGGGGACCCCGTTGCTCTGGGGCACAGCTGGCCCCATTTTCAGATCTGGAAGGAAGACAGAGGAAGAAGAGACCAAGAGGGGCAAAGGAGGAAGGAAGAAATAAAGGAGGAAATGATGGAAGAGAAAGAAAAAGCAGAAGGCGAAAAGAGGAAGCAACCGAGAGACCAAGGAGCAGAGAGGTTGGGGGGAGAGAGAGAGAGCAGGATCCCCAAAATTTATGTGCTCCCCTCCAATTGTGCCCTCCCCTCCTTCCAGCAAGGCCTCCCTATAATCCCCTTCTGGACTGCTCAGTCTCTGCCCCGAGGAGGCTGCAGTGGCCCCACAGGAAGAAAAAAAGGGGATTCCACCCCCAGAAGCTCCACCCGGTCACCCCAACCTTCCCTTCACGGACCAAAAAACCATTCTGACCTCACTGAGGGCAGATCTAATAGGTGCAGATCTGAGGGAGGGATTTTATAAAACGGGGGAATCCTGAGATTTCTTCATTGCAGCAACCCAATTAGGGTCTGAAACCACAGTTCTCAGGTGCCAGAAAGGAACCAGATTTATTTTGAATCTCAAGCACTTCCTTCACCTTCTCTGAAACTTGTCCTCTTTTGATGCTGATCCTACACTTTGTCAGCACAAAGAAAGCCAGAAATGCTCCCCCGCCATCTTGGGAGGGGGGTTGATCGTGGCTGTCCAATTCTTCACAGGATCAGGGACTCTCAATGTAAATTAGAGTTTCTCAGATTCAGCCATTTGGACTTCAATTCCCAGAATTCCCCTCACTCCGCAGAATCCCATGGGACCTCTCCAGCCTGGCCCCGCCCCCTGCCCTCCCTGAGGCCGGTTGGGAGTTCCTGTTGCCAATGCCCATTTGTGGGGGAGGGGGGGAGCTCAGCTGGGATCCTCTCCCTAAACTAGTCTGCCTGTCAAAAGTCCAGTTACCTTACGAGATAGAATTAATAATTGGAGCATTATTGAAAAAGAATAGAAACATAGCTGAGAAATGTAAGAACTTAGTTTCGGAGCTAATGTGTTTAAATAAGAAGAATTTGGGGTCCCTGAATAGTAAAATAAATAGGTTAGTTTAAATTTAAATATCTGAAAAATTAATGAAGTTTAAAACAGGATATTTGGGATAGATAAGGAGCTTTTGCAAATGTTTATTGATCAATGAAATTCATATTCAGCGATATATTTAATGAAAATCTGTGTTAGAAATGTATTAATGAGATTATAATAATTTAAACAGATAGTGTTAGTTTTGATTTAAGCATTTAATTTACACATAGCAATATATTAATGAATGAATTGGTTATAGGATTGTATTAATTTGATTATTATATTGATATTGAGCGGTTGAAAGTTTCTATTGATTAAGGAAACATATTTAGATATATTGATGAATGAATTTATTTGAATCTATTTGATTATAATATTCTACATAGATAGAGGGAAATTTTAAGAAATATTGTCTGAATTGTATATTTATAATCTTAGTGTTTCTTTTGTAATTGACCACCATATCTCCATGCTGGCTCTTAAGCTTCTGTTGGTGTAAAATGGAAAACTAATAAAAATTGTTTATATATAAAAAAAAAGTCCTGTTACCTTTAAAGCCCCTCTGGTGAATCAAAGAAATATGTATAAAAATATTTCAGTCTCTATCCTGCAAACTCCTGACCGAGGATCATCAACGTTTTTTTCAGCCCTGCCTTGGAGGACAGACTATATTCACAAGCCGTGAACTAGGCCAAATTTTAGTAACAATACAAAACAAAACAAAAACCACATTAAATCACTATTTAGTTTTAATTGTCAAAATACAAACACGGAAGAGACTCTTAAGGCTGCCCAAAGAACAAAAAAGCAACAGCTTGTTAAAATAATCAAAAGACAATAAGATGCTCCTAGGAAATCAATTCAGTTGGAAAATCTCCAAGGTTACAGTACTTGTTGGTGTCCATTCTGAAAGCTCTACAGATCAGAAATTCTTCCAGGGCACCAAGGATTTTAAAAATCATTTTCAAGATCTTTCACGGGACTTATTTGGGCATAACTTGCGAATGAACAGGACCTGCACAGCCCAGAGAAAGAAACAGTCCCACTGCCCAGTCCCTCCAGTATGGTCCCCCAGTCCTTCCCAGTCTCCCAAGGCAAAGGCCTCGGCCTCCTTCTTCCTGCTCCTCCCCACAATCCCGGAGGCTTCTCAGAGCTTTTGGGGAGAGGGATCCCCAGATCCACGTCCTGCTCTGGGGAGATTTCAAACAGATCAGAGCTTTTCTCTGACAGAAGGAGGGGGGATCGGACCCTCCGTGATCCAGAACCCGCTTCTTCCCCTGGTGGGGCTGAGCAGTGAGGGAGTCTGAAGTCTGCCTGAGAGGAGAAACGTGTGAATGTAACGCAGGTTGGGCGTCCTCACAATCACGAATCCTCCTCAGGTCAGGAGGGGCTGGTCAGTTTGGGCCTGTCTGTGTCTAAGCAAGCCCTTCATTTCAGGCTCTCCACCCAGAGGGGCTTCTCTCCTCCTGCCTCCAGCCCAGCCTGTTTAATAGTTAAGAACCTTTTTTTATACCTTTTGGAAAGCTGCTCCATTGATAGTTTCTCTGAGCAAAGAACTAGGAACACCCCAAGACCCCCCTTTCTAATTACTAAGGAATAATAACTTTTAAATGTGCTGCCACAAACAAGAGGGAATCAAGCTATTCTCCAAAGCGCCTGAAGGCAGGACAAGAAGCAACGGATGGAAACTAATCAAGGAGAGAAGCAACCTAGAACTAAGGAGAAACTTCCCGACAGTTAGAACAATTAACCAGTGGAACAACCTGCCTCCAGAAGCGGTGAATGCTCCAACACTGGAAGTTTTTAAGAAGAGACTGGACAGCCATTTGTCTGAAATGGTGTAGGGTTCCTGCCTGAGCAGGGGGTTGGACTAGATGACTTCCAAGGTCCCTTCCAACATTTTTTTTATTATTATTATTATTATTATTATTATTATTATTATTATTATTATTATTATTATTATTATTATTATTATTATTATTATTATTATTATTATATATTATATTATTATATCCAGCCCTGCATAACATCTTCGAATCTCGTTGTTTGAGGAAGTTGCATAACATTCTCAGAGACTCTTCCCATCCTACTTACAATCTTTTTGGACTGTTGCCTTCTGGCAGAAGATACAGAATAATTAAAACTCAGACCACACGTTTTCTGAATAGTTTTTATCCCAGAGCTGTAATTGCACTCAACAACGAACTAAGGGGCCACCGTCAGTGAACTGTTGGACAGTATTACTTGGTCTGTTGTGTGGATGTTGGGTGGTTTTAGGGGTGGAGATTGTGGTGGGGGGAGTGTGTTTGGGGATTATGTGTGCGGGACTTGGTTTTGGGGTATCAAGTAAATTTCGTTGTATATGTATACTATGTACACACATACAATGACAATAAAGTATATATATACATCATCATCATCATCATTATTATTATTATTATTATTATTATTATTATTATTATTATTATTATTATTATTATTATTAAATATTTTTAGTTTTAGCAACTGTCCCATGTCAGTGGCTTCTGAAATGGAAGGAGGAGAATTTGGGGCAGCAAATCCCTCCCTGACCCCAGGCCACCCCAACGATGCCCTTGACGTGATGACCCGTTGCCTGGAGGCCGTACGGGTCTGGATGGGGAGGAACAGACTCAGGCTCAACCCTTCCAAGACCGAGTGGCTGTGGTTGCCGGCGCCTCGGCATAGTCAGCTGACTCCATCGCTGACTATAGGGGGCGAAACTCTGGCCCCCTCGGAGAGGGCACGCA